GATCTGTGCTTCATGAAAATCAAGGCGGCTGAGGAAACAAGATTGTAGGTTCAACCATCAGGTGCATGCCCAATGATGCTGAATCACCAAGCATTGCCTTGTAAATCTTTATCAAGAGAAATATTTATATTTTTTTTCATTAAAACAGCTTGAGCCAAGTTTTCAGTTCAGCTTATAGTACTAAGCAGTCAAGAATTCTTATTTTTCTTAAAGGTTTCTCCAAATATCTGTTGTGCAGCTGTTATTTGTTATCATCAAACATAGATTATCCCTTCCCATTTGAATTATCCTGGAAAGAGATCATCCAATTTGAAAGGACCATCTGTACAGAAACACCATCAGCCTTACATGCTAACCTTTCTCACAATATATTCTTTTCTGTCCATAGATAAGGAAATAACACTTGGAGCTACAAATCTGGTATCTCAGTTGGATCCAGGCTAATGTATTATTTATTAAATCCCAAATGTGAATTATCAATTTATATTTCAAATATATTTTTATGGAAATCACATCTCAAAAATGTTATTTTCTGGGCACCATTCACTATATATTTCTGCAGGGTAAAAGTTAAGAGATTTCCTGTTATTTTCCAGTGACTTATCATTTGGATGTTACAGCTTTTTTTGTAAGGCATTATATTTAAATTAATATAGCAATTAATTATGATATAGAGAAAAACAATCAGACTTTTTTTTGCTACTGTTTAATCAGATTTGAAGTACGCAAATTAGAAAAACATTTATAGGTAAGTTAAAAACACCTTTAAAACATAGCGGTATGCTACTAAATTGTAGCATCTCCAAGACAAAACTAGAAATAAGTAATTATTAAAATATCACATCACAGTGTAAACTAACACAGTGGTATCTTAAATTACCATACACCAAGACCTAATTTTATGGATCTGTTGAAAAATAACAATTTTTAAAAAATATAGAGAGATTGGAATAATAAAAATGAAATTAATGGACATCGTCTTTATATTTTGAATTGGGGAAGGCAATTTGAGGAAATACTGCAACTATCCGCTTCTGAAGCATATTTTCCTCTTAAAAAGCAGATACCGGAGGGGAAAAGTACGTAATTGTTTCTGCTTTAAACTGAGAAAAGTCCCTTCAGTGTGTGTCCAAATAGGAACTGAATTCCGCATTCATATTTTTGCACTGAATAACATTTATATTAATTTTAGTAACTGTTATGTCCATGGTGTTGCTGGTTTCCATTCAGTACCTGGAGAATATTCTTGCACAGCTAGAAAACATACTTTCAAGATTATTTTTATATGCTACTGTATCCGTATGACACCTTTTTGCCACTGTTAAGACCACAGATGTCAGAAAACTAGTCAGCATCAATAATCATAAAAAAAAAAAAAAGGACATGAAATTCCTTATACAGTATATATCTGGAAGGACAAAGTTGAAAAGAAAAACAAAGGTAGAGAAATGTTCCTCTTACAAAACCTTCTGATGAGTTTAGATGCAATTATGATATGCACAGTTATAAACAATGTTTAAGACTTCTGCCGTAGAAGGGACAGATTTTACAAGTAAGTGCAATGGAAACAGAAAAGCCAAGATGAGTCTAAGCTGCCTTTCAAATTGCTACAGTGACCCAGACAATTATCCCAGCGACTCAGCTTAAATCAGTGCCAAAGTAAAATATTTTTTGGAAAAAAGTTTGGTGGGACAATAAGATTGAAAGCTATTAAGAACAAACAGCAATATGAGCTTCCGGTATTTTCAGGTTGGCCCAGAATGGAAATCACATACTGTGGAAAAATAATTATTACATATATCCAGGGTTATGAAAGTTGATATCCACTTGCACACCCAGGGCTTCCTTGCTTGCTTGCTCCTCCCCATGTCAGGCCTTTTAGACCCTTGGTTCCCTAGCAGAGGTTTTCAGGGGCACATGGGAATTAACGGGGAAGGAAATAAGCATGCCTCATACTTGAATTTTGGCTTAAAAAAAACTTTTTTTGCCTTACAAAATTCTCATTCATTTTTTCCTTTCACACAGCAGGCTGTCCTAATGTGTGGAACAACACTGGGTGAACCAGTATCCATAATGAACTTTATATGCTGTCTTTCACCAAAGCTAATAATAGTAATGCAAGAAATAGTAAATTTTAATGGCTACCATCAGTCTCAGAGCTGTGTAGTAGACACACTCCTTTTTTAAAATATTTTTTTAGATAACCCTGAAGAAGATAAGAGTAAAGTCCTCCTGGGTCATCTAATAGTAAGGAAATAAGATGTTTTTCTAAGGTCATGGGTTAGGGTTAAACATTTTTCTATATTGGAGTCTTCTAAGTGGAAGGCCTTCGCAGGGCGAAAATGTTATATTTCCATCTAACATCCCGTAACATGGTATTGCAAAATGGGCACATTTTTGTGATGTGACTTTGGGGGTTTGGGAGGTTTGAAGAGGTTTGCATCCCAGAGTCCTTCAGTTTCCATTTCTATCTTGTACAGTGGAACCTTGAGTTATGAATTTAATCCGTTCCGTGACTCTGGTTGCAACTCGAATCGGTCGCAACACGAGGCAAATTTTCCCATAAGGTTCAATGTAATTACCGTTAATCCGTTCTGGCATGGAGGACAGGGAGGCGGCTATTTCTTGGAGGGAGAGTCGGGCGGAAAAATGGCCACGGACCACGTGTCAGGGGGGGAAAAATGGCCGCGGACCACGTGTCAGGGGAGGAAAAATGGCCGTGGACCACATGTCAGGGGCGGAAAATGGCCGCAGACCACGTGTCGGGCGGGAAAATGGCTGCGGACGACGTGTCAGGGGCGGAAAATGGCTGCAGACCACGTGTCAGGGGCGGAAAAATGGCCGTGGACCACATGTCAGGGGCGGAAAATGGCCGCAGACCACGTGTCGGGCGGGAAAATGGCTGCGGACGACGTGTCAGGGGCGGAAAATGGCTGCAGACCACGTGTCAGGGGCGGAAAATGGCCGCGGATCTGGTTTGTAACTCGAGGTGGTTCGCAACACAAGGTAAATTTTTGGGGCCAGAGCTGGTCATAACACGAAAAATTTGTAAGCAGAGGTGTTCGTAACTCGAGGTACCACTTTATTTCCAAAGACTGCAGTGATGAATATCAGCCATTTTGCCACAGGATTTTGGTGGTAGAATCTCAAGGAACTAAGGGTTGTCCCCCACCCTGGTTTATGCCAAACAGATTAGGCTGTAGTTAAGACTGGGCATTTAAACTACTAACCAAAGAAAATTTGTGCAAATGAAGCACCTCTGTTGGGAGTACTGTACTAAAGCAGCCACTTAGCTCCCTTGGAAGTCCCAGTGGATGTACTCTCTGTGAATCTCTCTCTATAGGCAAACAACCGGGGACAACTTTCAAAGCAGCTACATGAACCTTGTAAAGACACAGCTACTTTAATGCTTCAGCAAGAGGTGTTCCATCCCTACTAATATGTTCTATAATGCCAGAGTTTTGCATAGTTCTGATTATATTTCCCAAAATGTGAGTCTGGAAAAAAGGTATTGTGGGTAAGGTTAAAAACTCAAATAATAAACAGTGAAAGATAAACGTCTTTTGTGAAAATAACAAGTACCTTTCAAGTAACTTGCAAGTATCAGATTTCTAAAGGGTGTCAAAACTTAAAAATCTTAAAGCTAAAATAAGCTCTATTTATCAGTTTTCTCAGGAGCTGAGAGCACTTACTATGAAGCATATCAAGTTCACTGTACTTCCAAAGAAATCCCTATTTAGAATTTAAAAGTGAAAAGTGTTTTCTTCTTCTATTCTCTGGCTTCAATCCTACAAAAATAAATCAGTCTCATTTCATCCCATTATTTGGTTTGTTACAACTTTAGCTGGATTAAGATCCTTAATATTGACTGGATATATTCTACCTATATTTCCAGGAAATACAGGAAAATATGTAACTACGTTATGTTGGTCTATGACCGTAATAAAGATTTGATTTGATATAACTCCGTTCATCTTCTGTCACAGAGCAAGAAATAAAGGGCAGAATCACTTTTAACAACAGGTTTTTTTCCTGTACAATTTGAAGTAGGTCAAATTGTATTCAGTAGGAATGCTTCCATGTAACTATGCACAAATGTGCAATCTTAATAAGTGAGTGCAGTTGCTTGTGCCAGAGGAAAGAATTCAGCATAATATTTAGATTCAAGATTTGTAATCTGACAAAAGAATGTTAGAGTGTATATTTTGCAAATTTTATCAATGTAAATATTACACAAGTATGAAGCTCATACATTACATCAACCCAAGTACTAACATTATATTCAACTGATAGGCAGGGGAAATTGCAAACTACAGAATGGATTCCGTGTTTCCTTTTCAGGGCTTGATGGTCATGGCTAGTTTGCAACAAGTCTGGCCTTGCTTTCCCTTATTAACAGACAAGCCAGAAAACTGGAACACTTGATCCTTCATTTTCACTATCCCTGTTTCTATATGTAAAAAAGAAAAGAAAGTACTGGAAAATTGCTATTCTTCCCCCAAAGATTAAGCTTGACTAGACATATAGAAACAGGTAAAAAGTGGACAAGGCAAGGTTTTTCTAGTTTTCAGTGGTTTGCACTGATTTCTATGAGCAAAACGGCTGCTATTTCATACACAGGAAGTGAGTTTCCTCATTGCAAATTCTGAAATAGTGCTCATAAGTGTGTGTGTGTGTGTGTGTGTGTGTGTAAGATTAAACTTTCATTTATCTGGTATCTAAGAAGTAACTTCTCTTGGAATAGTGTTGAACAAGGCTATATATAGGGGAAATTAATCTTTAGTAAAGAGGAGCTACCTCTACTGACAGAGATGTTGACATTTTTTGCACAGACAACAGATACACCATTGCAAAGAATGCACCGCAGGTTTCTCAACAATATATACAGGTAGTCCCGAGCTTAAGAATGAGTTCCATTCCCAAGGTCTGTCCTTAAGTCAGATTTGTATGTAAATTGGAACAGTATTATTGTATAATACTGCATAAGTAGTATTGTGTAATTAACTCAAACTATTGTGTATTGAACTCAAATCATTGTGTATTTAACTCAGTTTGCTACAATAGGCTCCATTCATAACTGTGGTCATCTGTAAACTGAGCGTTCTTAACCTGGGGACTACCTGGGTATGTATCTTCCTCTTTACCATGAAGAGCCACAGATGTCTTTAATATGCTAACTAAGTAACAGGGCAGCCATGTTCAGTCATTATAGAAAGTGGTTACAACAAAGTATCACTGCATACTATATTAACCAACTTCACCCCATGGCATGTACCCCAAGTAGTTTCTTCCTGGTACTCATACAGTGCAAAACTCTGCATGCAGCAGACTTCATATATACACACAGCTGGAGTTTCCATTGTGTATTTGAATTTGCGGGGCGGGGAGAGGTAATTTGGCACAAAGAAAACCATGATAAAGTCCTGTCTGCATGTCGCTCCATTCATGTTCTGCAATAAACAAAAAGAGCTTTTGTGCTTATGTGACTTCAGGAGATAACAGCAAGCCTACTTCTGCTAATGCCAATGTTCATTTCCACCAACATGGAAGCCCTTTTTAACATGCAGCTACCTGTTCTCCAAATGAACACCCCATTCTACCACATCAGTTTCCTCCAACAAAACGCACCTGTCTCTAGTTCTCAGTGAAGGCAGGTAGCAGAACAGAATGGACACTCCAAACAAGAAATATCTCTTATTTTTCACTGAAGGACAGATTGGAAGATCAAACTTACGATGACTTGAAATGTCAACTGAAATTTCTGTATCATTTCTTTGCTATGTTCCTGACAGCAGCAAGGAGCTAAATACTATTTTTCTGGGTTCATAAAATATTTGGACATGCACTGCATAATGTCTAGGTTATAAAACAAAGTAGGAATGAAAAATCAGCTTATTTTAATAATAATTAAACCTCCTTTTTCATTTCTTATTCTGGGTCACTTTCTGTGTATTTCAAAGAAAACATTTCCATTCACTAAGAAATCTAACAGATATGCAAGCAAACAAATGAAAATTATAGCCCTTTAGCACATAATTTCTTTACCAACTGTAAATTTTCACCAGAAGGTGATTAATATTTATCAATTCCCTTGATAAATTTTCAAGCTAAAATTATGGAACAAAAGATTTGGTTGGGAAAGTTTTATCAAATGTTACTCTAATGATCTCCATATATTACATCCTGCTTTAGTTTTTCCTAAACCACAGGTGTTCTGGTGTTACAGGATTTATGTTGTTTAACTAGACAGTACCAATTTAACAATTTCACTCTTTGTTTAATATAAACTGAATTATAACCATAAGGTAAAGTGGCCATCGTAAGCACCTTTTCATACTAATTCTATATCTGATCAATCTTTACTAGTGATTTTATCTTAAGCTCGCCCTGTGAAATGATTTCTATACGATAAGAAAGAGGAATTTTATTGGAAAGCTACAGGAATTGAATAGGAATTCCATGCACTCTTGTGATGGCTGCTGCAAAGCTTACTCATCCAGAAGAGCAAAATTAAATTAAAACATTTGACTCTAGAGAGGATGACTTTTAATGTTTTAAAAAAGTTGTCAGAGGGCTTTCCTTTAATCACAGTTCTTATCAGACAAACCAACTATAATTTGGCATTTGCAATGCTTTCAGTTCAACATTGTACAGATCTGATACGCTAAGAAAACCCTCCAGATGCTGAGAGAGGTGCTTACTGTGGTTCCTTCTTTTCACTTCAGACAGTGTGGCTTTCTGCTTCCATTCCTCTTGCTTTGTCCCTCAGAATCCAAAGCTTACTTTTGAATTATACTTCAAATATATTATACTAAACATGAAAATACTATTTAGAAACATTACTTTTTCAGTAGATAGAGGGTTTAAGGCAATGCAAGATATTTTCCTTCTGGTATTCTGGATTGACACAACTGTTTCCTACCCCCACAGTGCCTAGGGATTTACAATGTACATTCAACATAGGGGCACACCGATGACATACGCTGTTGGTCCTGAGTGCCCGCTGAAATAATGGTAATATTTCCATATAAGGCGTGATCCACAGGAACATGGCACGGGAGTGGTTAATTTGCTTTGTTTTCATCTTACTAGTATATTCCCTAGAGATATAGCATTCTTTTCTTACTAACCATCTTTTCAGACAAATACAAACCCCTTTTAAAAGGTGCTATAAATGGTCTTGAAAATATAAAATATAGCATCTATAGCATCTGTAATCATTGTTTTGTTGCGGTATTTCTGGAGGTGATTTCTCTTCTTTGATTGAAGCTATTTGCCACAGAATAACTATTATGTCCCGTAATTCTCTTTTCTTTTTCTTCTTCTTGCTTTCTGGACCATGAAGGCTGGATGCTTTCTTGCTCTTTACTTCCTTTTTGAGTTCTTTTCATTGGAAACATCAACAGCACTAAAATGCAGGCAATATGGAGGCAGAAATACCAGGAACTAAGCAAAGAAACAGAAATTAAGAGTTTTGATCATTATATGATAATGTTTCAACATTTTGTCTACTTGTCAGAAGACCAGCAGTACTACACATCCTATTAGGGTGTGTGTGTGTATGTGTGCGTAAATATATGAGATTATTTGGATGCCTCAGATTATAACTTAGGTCCTGAAGATAATAAATAGCCACAGTTTATCCTTCACCCCTATCAATTATCTCATACTGAGAAAGCTTGGCCATTCTCTAATGCCAGGAACATCATCATCTGTGGGGGAGGAACAGAAGAAAGCTGTAGAATTATGCTATAGTTTGGATTATTTTTAATATCACATTCAGTGGTTCATTTAGTTAAGAAATTCAATACTGGATCAATTTTAATTTCTGACCATACACCCCTAGTAATGTTAGTGAGATAGGATAAAAATACCCTAATCACTCAGAGATGAAATTTTAATACTTCATTGTTGGAAGATTTGTAGTTAGTGGAATAACAAAAAGGAAAAAAAAGATATAAATGTGTTTTTGCACGTAAACAAAGATTCAATTAATTTCAGCATAGCCTGGAATAGATTTAAAGCATTGGCAACAGTAAATCATGCTCTCGTTACAACTGACTTAGACTACTGTAATGCACTGTACTTGGGAATGCCCTTAAAGAATATTTGGGAATTGCAATTGGATCAAAATGCAGTTGGCCTGCATACCTTGAGCTCCCAAAGTTGGGAGCACATAATACCAGTTTGGTGGACCCTGCATTGGTTGCCAATTGGAGTCCCATTTAAGGTGCTATTTTGACCTATAAAGCCTTCATAGCTTGGCATTTGGATATCTGCAAGACCACCTTCTCCAGTCAGTTTCGGTCTGATCTAGATCTGCCAGGGAGAAAAACTGCTACGGAACCCATCTTGGGCGCAAAGACTGCTGGGTGACCTTGGGCCAGTCACTCTCTCTCAGCCCTGGGAAGAAGGCAATGGCAAGCCACTTCTGAAATCTTGCCCAGAAAACTGTAGGGACTTGTCCAGGCAGTCACCAGGAGTCGACACTGACTTGAAGGCACACATATGTTTTCTAGTGTATTTTTTCCACATAAGCTGCCCAGAGTAAATTTTGTTTGTTTATAAATAAATAAATAAACAAGTGGTCAGATAATAGCCTGTGCCTACTGGTAACATCTGAATCATAAGTAAAAGAAGCTTTGAAGTCTATGGCACAAAACATACTCAAGAAATATATGCTCCTGTATGTTAATATCCTTTCTACCAGCAGCATCTTGGAAAATATTATTATTTATATATGAATGTGGGTTTTTTGTGTTTGTATTGTGTTTTTATTGTATGTTTACTGTATTTTAATTAATATTTATTTTTGGTTTTTACTGTAAACTACCCAGAGTCACTTCCTAGTGAGATGGGCGGTGACCAAATTTGAAGTATAAAACATCATGCTTTCAGATCTACTAAGTTAGTTGAATCAATTATATGCTTTGGATGCTTTATAACAAATCAAATAAATGTACTGAAAACAGGGAGAAAAAGCTGGGAAATTATTGGTTTCTCATTTGAAATATCTGAAACAAGCAAAATAATAAATGATACCTCAAGAACAACTTGCAATAATTAAAATTAAATTAAATTAGAAATTTTGAAAGTTACAAAAATGTAGATTACATACACATAGATATAGCTAGCAACAGGTAGATGGCTTTTTAAATGAAATATTTCAGAAATGTGGCTGTACAATCAAACATTACACTCTTAACATTACAGGAAATGATATCATTAATATGATGAAATCAAGAAAATCCTCTGGACCAGATGGAATAACTACAAAATGGTATAAAAATTCAAGGAGGAGGCAGCCTTTTCATTTCTGGAGATATTTCAGGCATCTCAAGAAAATAAATGCCTGCCTTCATCGTATTATAAAGGTTGTATCAATGTAATTTTGCAGCCTGGTAAGAACCCTACTCAGTGTTCAAGTTATTGCCTGATATTGCTGTTAAATCTTAAAAGCTATATTGGTGAGAAGATTTCAGAAAGTATTACCCATAATAATTCATCCTGCAGAACCTGGTTTCATGAAAGGGTGTCAAGCTTCAGATAACATAAGACTTCTTTTTGATAGGCTTGTACACTGACACAAATGAATCTTTATTAGAACACTGGATGTAGAGCTAACTCTTGATATTGTTCAAATCAATCTTTTGACATTGCAGAAATTTAGATTTCCCATAGAATTTATTAGATTTACAATTTTTATTATCTTAATTCATCCACTAATGTAAGCACTAATAAGATTATTTCACCAGTAATTAAAATGCAATGCCCAACTTATCAAGGATGTTCCTATGTTCTCTAGTTTTAATTTGGCACTGATACCTTTGGCATGCTTAATAAGATAGACTTGTCAGAATTAATAACATTTGTTTTGTTTAATTTAAATATAAGATGCAGAAAATGATTACCAGTAATCTTTTCTTAAATTTGCAGAAGTATTACAATTATACAGTAAATATTCTGGGTATACAGTAAATTTTCTTCATTTACAGCAATGTCATTGGGCTTATTAACTTCAATCAAATATTGGAAGAGAAATGATACTGACATGGGTCCTCTGTTCTCTTCTTTCAATCCCTGTTATAATTCTATCATAACTTTTTTACAGCATAATTGCCTACTAAGAATTATTTTTATGCTGGAATCTGAGTTTGTATTTTTCTTCTCCTTTTAGTACAAGCTTAGGTTATGTAACAAACAAGTTACCTACCTACTGTGGTTTTTCAAGTGGCCATCTGAATATTTAGACGTATCAGCTTTATGCTTATGCTGAAATCTTGTCAGAATCTTTTTTAACTTAGATTTTTTGGCAGAAGACTTTATCCTGTTCATACAGCCTTAAGACCTCTGCTTTCCCTTAAGTTCCAGTGCAGCCTAACTGAAATCAGGAATGCCTACTGATACTGATACCTATAAATGGGACCTGGAAGTGTTGTGCAGTTATACAGATGACCACATAAGTGAGGAGCAAATTAAAGCTGGATTTGTAGGTGGGGCAGATCTCTTCTAAACCAGGATGGGTGATAATATACCTATGCTATACAGGGCATCAACTTGAGCCTGAACATCCATTCTATGATTGCTTATGGAGTCTTGGTTGTGGGGTTTTAACTATTATTTATGGGGGGGGGGTTCCCTGTATACTGCATGTCTTTCCTTGTTGCTCTCTGCCCAGAGTCCATCAGCATTGTCAATAACTAAGACCATGTGGCTGCTTTACAAAAGGCTGCTTGAAAGATGCCCCCCCGCAACAGGTTTGTAGATGAAAAGTATACTGTTGGACTGTATTGCTATTTTGAGACAGAAATCAATAAATGTTTCTATCCAGTTGGTAGCAATCTCAGGCCTATGATGAAGAGGGAAAGATGAAATCAATTATTGCCATATATTGTGGTTTATGACTATCGTATGTGAAGAAGGAACTTCCTCAATTTTGTAAAAAATCTCTTCAATAATAAACAAATAAGCAACTCCATGAATAACAAGACCAGTATTAGATTTTTCCTGGCCAAGATGAACTAGAAGACTTGTAAGCAGTGACTCAAGGACACAGGTTTCTGATCTCTCTATTACAAGAACTAAGAAAATTGCTAAGATGAAATCCAATACATTTCAAGTATAAAATGCTAGTTGTATTTATAGTAGAAGCAAGATTCAATTTTTGTGTCTCTTTCTCCCATATATGCTGTGCAACATCCTGGGGGCCTTACATATTTAGGCAGGAGGCAGTTTCCATCTGTGACTTATTATTCTAAAGGTCTCAGGATGTTTGCTTCTGACCTTGCCAGATTTAATCCTCACAATTGGGAATACTGTCTCTCAGCTTCTATAACAGTTTCTTTATTTCATCTTCTGAGATAGAAGCACTGTCAGAATAAGATACTCCAGGGTTAGAAGGCTCTATAATTGATGAAGACAGTAGAGGAGGTGATATCAATATGCGTAATGTTGGGCAGAGCTATAGAAAGTTCCTGATGAGGTTTCAGAAAAGAAACAAGTGGCTATACAAAAACCATGGTGAACAAAATTTTGATATATACCACTTCGAAAATGGAGGAAAAATGGATAATATGGATGACAAGAAAATGACCATGGGGAAAGTATTCCTTCCTCTAGTGTTTTTTCTGTTTTTCCAGTCTTCCACCACCACAATGAACAAGAAACTTTATTTGCTTGTTCATTTATTCATTCATTTTGTTTAAAGGAAATCTCTGATTCTATGATAATTTCCTAAATCTCAGCCAGGCACATGAAATCATTACATGAAATTCTAGCCACATGAAATTGAAAACTGGATTACAATATTGCTTTCTCAGCTGTCAGCATGTGTGAATAACTTCTTTTCCACTTAAATACCATTTTTAAAAAGGACAAAGTATCAGCTTACCTGTAAAATATGTAAGAGGGTTTTACGGAGAGAAGTACAAACGGTACAACTGTGTAACTTATTGCTATTTGAGTTGTGATCCATGTCATGATATCATAACATAATTTATTGGCTGGAGAATCAATAAAATAATTTCTAATGTTCTTTCTAATCTAAATTTAAAGAGAGATACATTTAAGTAGTAAGTGAACATTTTTATAGAACAGGTAAGTATCTATATATAGGTCTTACAAAAAGCTATATCTAGAGACAGCTAAATAAAAAATTGATGACATTACCTTGATCTAATAATCAGAGTGCTTTTCTAATAAGATAACAGCTATACTTCTCAACAGTAGAATTACAATTTGAATCTCCCTTTTGGAATCAGTGATTGGCTTTAACAGAAGATATTATTCTTGCAAGTTGTTTTCCAGTACTACTCTATTGCCATCAAGCATATTATTAAAGTGACTTGCAATTCAACTAGGATTACTTGAGAGACACAACATTTGTGAATTTCTATATGAACTAACCTGATCTTTCTTATACCCATATGTGCATGAAAATATAACTAAACTTTAGATTTTGTACTTCTCTGAATTCTGTGCTGCAGTTTTCAGCTCAAAAAAATTACCACAATGCATTTTAAATATGGGGTTTGAAAGCTAATACTTAAAAACAAATTGGGAAAAAAGTATGTTTAAAATATGTATTAACATTTTCTATACAGATTTTTTGCAAAATAGTGCAGAAACAAAACAGAATGGATAGACCAATGAATACATATGAAAGGTTGGAAACAGATTTTATCCTTTCTTAATCTTATCAGTCTTATCATATACACAATGTGAAATTAATGGGTAAAATCTGATAGGCGCTGATTTCCTGTCCCATAATCAGAAAAGAGATTTAACCACAGAAATTAAGTACCTTTACATATGCCCTCTCCTTGTTTAATGACCACAATTCATTCTCTAAATTGGAAGAAAAATGGTCGCTAAGCGAACTATGTGACACTGAGAGAGAGAGATGCTGTGAAAATCACTGGTTCCTGCTGCCTCATTTAGATAAAGTTCACCAGTGTTATTTCCATTCAGGCATCTGTTGTTGTCAGGTGCAGAAATTTGGTTGTAAGTGCATGCATTGGTTGTGACTTCATTTATTTATTTATTTATTTATTTATTTATTACCATTGTATTTGCAAACAGTCATTAAACA